AGGTCCCAGAGGAGATGCAAGGTAGATTCTTCAGAAGATTCATTCCATATCAGACAATCATAAGCTTCCATGGGGAAGGGTCTAACTTTGAGCAGCCCCCTGGTATTAACTATGTCATGTATGGCAACCCAAAAGAATATTTCATGTCTAATTCTGCTATCACATTTCCATAACCATTTGAAAAGGAAGCTTGCTTCTGATTGGCCCATCATATTCTTATGCATATTGTTGGGAGAGAAGTTTCAAGGCTTCCATTTTTTGGACCAGGTGTCTATAGGTGAGGATGGGTTAACTTGGGCAATCATCATCAAACACATTGAATTGCAGAAATGCCTGATTTGACAGAGGTCTGTGGATTCTTCAGCCAAAATTTTTGAGTGACCAACACATTGGCCAGAGAGACATTTTATTTTTCACAAAAGAGTAAAGTTTTGGGAATTGTTGTGCTAAAGGTTTTCCTATCCATTTATGATCCCAGAACAAGACAGATTGACCCATTCCAACGATTCAAATTGCCTCCTCCTTGTAAAGTAGAATTAATTTCAAGTGAGCTTCCACCAAAACAAACCATCATTCTTCCATGGCGATGGTGGAGTTGAATAATATATATGTTTCCCACATCAGACGAACCAAAGGCATGTCTTCTCTGTTATAGAATTTGTGTAGGCTCTTCATAAGCAGAGCTTTATCTTGGGAAGCAATTTCTAAAACTCCTAGACCACATGCCTTTGTGTTTGCAAACTATGTTCCAAGCAATAAGCGTCGGGCCAATATTTTTGGAGCCAAATGTCATCCATTAACAAAGCCTTAGGTATTTGTTGACCTGATCCACTGCAACCACAGGTAGAGCAAAGCAGCAAATGAAATAGGGTCCGTCTAGGACACATCTAGATGTGACATAACTATGTCACATCTAAGTTGATGTCCACTCTGTTTGTGGTCTATTTTTTTTCCTATTTTTTTTGTTTCTTGTTGCTGCATTATATACTTATGAGAGCTTAGATGTGACATCCTTAAAAAATATCTAGATGTGAATTAGACAAACTGAATGAAATAAGTAGAAAAGGGAAGAAAAGACAGACTTGATTAGTTGTAGTCTTTCATCATATGAAAGAAGAGCCGGCAATTATTCTCTCAATTCTTTGTATCATGTCATTATTTTGAGCTTATTAATTCTGAGGAGACCCATATAGTGTGCGCAAAAAAAGAGGGGACCTATATAGGTGAAAAGTAAGGATCCCAGGTGACATCCCAATTTCGATTTACAATAGTATGTAGATGTACTACTACACCGTGCAATGATTTTCAATTTGGATTTACGTCATCTGCTTCTGTATTCTACACAACCAAATTAATCCTATTTAAGCTTGTGAAAGAATAGTGTAAAAAGATGGACAAAATCGACCAGCGTTGGAGAATATCTGTACTCCCTCCGGTCCTTTTTACTCTGCATGTTAGGTTTGTCTGAAGTCAATCTCATCCAACTTTGACCAAGTTTATACAAAAAATTATTAACATTCACATAACAACACATTTATTATTAGATCCATCTCGGAATATATTTTCATACTATATTTATTAAATGTTATAGATGTCAATATTTTCTAATATAAATTTGGTCAAACTTAGCAAACTTTGACTTCAGACAAAGCTAATGTGCGGAGTAAAAAGGACCGGAGGGAGTACATAGTTATCTATCTATGATGATGCCATTCTTCTTTTGTGCTTAATTATGTATTTATTTTTCTTTCAGGCATAAATTAATGACATAGAAGAACACATGTATTGGGGCACCATGGTGCCTGGCTCCATGCTCGATGGTCGTCGGGTCATGTCTAGATCATGCTATTGTAATGGGTCTCAAAATTGTTGGGTCAACCCGTTAGCATATGTTGATTTATATAAATAGATTAAAGTTCCTAATTAATGGATGATCGTGGTTCAGTCATGGATATATTAATGGAAACAAATTCCTCTTTTTGTATGGATTTTCTACACCCCTATGTAGCTACACATTCTATCTAGACCATTCAATTTTGCGTCAAGATCTATGTTGTATTTACATAGTAATTTCTCTTTTTTGTTTCTTTCAAATTAGAGAATATTTGATCTTGATTTTTTTAGGTCAACGCCATACAAGTACTATCTCCATCCGGGTTTATTAGTCTTCATTGTGTTTTGGATCAAATTTTGATCACATATTTGACTAGCAAAATGTTAGTGCATATCACTCAAAATACCAGGGTGACAAGCAAACTCTGATGGAGGTAACACCACTACAAGAATAAAGATTTTTCTTATGCAAAAGAAAATTTTCAAAATAAAAATCTGAATGAGTTTTACCATTTTATATATTTTCATTCAAGAAAAAATCTGCACATGCTAGTCTCGATGTTGACCTGCAAAGTTTTAGGTTTAAATGTTTTCTTATTTGGGAGAAACAAAGAAAAAGTTCATATGCGCGAATGTTGATGGAAAAATGGATGGTCTAGATAAAAGGTATAGCTACATGGCAGCGCAATTACAACTTTCTCTATTTTTAGCTCCATGTTTTTTAGGAACTGTCGTCATGATGGTTTTGCTTCATGCGTAAATAAGGACATTCCGCAAAAAAAAAGCGTAAATAAGGATACATCGTTTGCTAACACATCAACTAAAAAACGTAAGGCCCGGTCCGTCAAAAAATAGTTTGTGAGCCCTCCGTTATGTGTTAAATATAGTTGGACATTTGCGAGATACGACTGGATGACCGGCTTTCAAACCTGTGTCTGAACACCGGTCCGAACCGATCCGCCGAGTTTGAGCTTCCCTACCATCACAAGCATCCTAAAAAAACCATCAACAGGCTAATTAATTGCATATATGTGATCAGACTAATTAATTGCATTAACCGTTTGATTTCCAAATTGATACGAAACTCGGTTTTAAATTATTTTTCGCGGTAATGACAGCGTGTGAAATGACGTCGTACCAACTCTTGTTTGATACTGCCTTCGCTTTAAAATAAGCGTCTCAACTTTATATTAAACTTAATACAAAATTGTATTAAAGTTGAGACAGTTATTTTTTGACGGAGGGGAGTAGCCTAGATTGGGATCCTCCTCGGTAACGGTAGGCAGTAACACCGTGCAGTAGAGTCGTACTGTCGTCACTGATGCGGGCCCGACCCCACGTGTCATCGGTGCTGTAGCACCATACACTACTGTAGCGGCGGGATCGGGTCGTTCCACTGAGAGATTGACGGGGATCTGTGTACGCAGGCATGTGAGGCTAGTACTATCTCCGTCTTGGTGAATAAGTCATTCGCGTAGTTTTAGGTCGACGATTTAATTATCTAAATATGTATTATATGCGACAAAAAATATATATTTAAAAACTACATTCGTGTAGAAATCTAGTGATATACTTTTCATGACATATAACACATATTTAATTGCTTAAATTGATGACCTAGAACTACGCGAATGACTTATTCACCTAGACGGAGGTAGTAGTAAATCTCGTCCGTAGCATTTAATTAGTTCATCTAACGCCGCCAATTAAATTCCTGATCCGTCCGGTACCATTCACCACTCGGCCTTCAGGCCCCGCGCCGTTGCGCTGCTCCTCCTCCTCTCCCAAATCCAACCGAGATAGGAAAAAGAAGAGGCGAAGGGAAGAGAGAGGCCGCGAATGCCGACGTGATTCCCCTCGGAAGCTCGCGCGCATTTGCCACCGGAGAGATCCCCCCTTGCTCGTCCACGCCGCACCACTCCCCCGTCTCCGGCGGCGAACATCGCTTGGGCTCCTTCCTTTTCGCGGCGGAGGCGGCGGCGGCGGCGGCGGCTTTGGTTTTTTCGGGGGCGTTTCTTGGGTGGCTGGCCGAGCCATTGCTCTGGCTACCGTGGTGCCGCGAGGAAGACGCGCGTCCGGTTAGGAGCGAATCTGCTTTGGTGCTGCACCCCCGGTGGGTTTCAGATCTGGCTGAAACTGAGCTGAGTGAGGACTTTTGGCCTTGATTATTTATTATTAACAGCTTGTTTCTTTCTGAACTTCCCATTGACAGCAGCTGACAGTCGCTATCTGTGAAAATTAACACTGTATTCTCCAACGATGTAGTACTCCATTTTAAGATCGATCTAGACACAGGCGCACACCCGACAAAGAACAATTGCAGTTGATAAGCTCACAAGCCACATTCAGAAGGCCAATCTGCAACTACACGCACGCCTAGTTTAATCTTGTTCGAGTCGTGATTTTCTCTGGCGCATTAATTTATTCCCTCAGAGAATGCCACTTTCTCGTAAAGAGGCTTTCTGATGCCGCACCTGGAAAGGTGTATCCAGTATCGAGTTCAGCACTTTTGTCCCTTTTTGGCTTTTGCTTTACCTGGATGTATTTTTTTACTTCTAGTGTTTTTTGTACTACCTTGACAGATGATGAATAGATCGGAAGTTTTCTCCGCAAAAATAGATAAATATAGCATCATAATGTTACAGTTTGTATATGTCTTTTGGAGATGAGTTGTTAGCATGTCACAGTTCGTGTACTGGTTTTAATGGATTCCTTTACGCAAAAAATAGCTCCTCATATGTACATATCTACTTTGCATGCAGTACATAGCCTATGTTTCCGCCGCCTTACTGTGCTTTCTCACCATGCTCCAAGCGCAGAGTTATGCCGTTGTGTTTCTGTAGTAGCTAGTCCGAGTTCTGACATGGCATTGGGGAGCAATGGAAAGCTCGGAGATAGATGAGGAGTAGATTTCCTAATTAAGTAAGCTGATAATATCGATTTCACAGTGACGGCAAGTTTACTGGCTTGCTAGTCACATTTAGAATTTGTTTGATGCAGAAAAATCAAAGACTTCGAGTGCCACTATGTGTTAATTTTATCTCTCCATCTTATGTGCATCCTTTAAATCTTTGTTCCATGTATATCTGCAGGCACAAAGCACTTGACTTGAGACGAATATCAGAACCTCTCCTCTTAGTTGATTCTCCATATAGTCACTCTTCAAGATGGAACAGATTTCGGTGAGTTACTTCCTTCTGTTCATTAAAATCCTCTTGAAGCTGAATGGTTTCATAGTTATAACTTGTGATCAACAACCAAAATTCTGAAGCACTGAGTTTTTTCTTTTCTTTTTATCTTGGAAATTGTCTATAGCTTGGCCATCGATATAAGGAGTGCAGGCCACAAAGGACTAGCAGCTGTCCAGCCAAACTACTTGTTGGGAAGGATGTACTGAAAGAATTGGAGGAAAGACGGTCATCCCCCAGTGTGGTCGCAAAACTGATGGGAATTGACGTATTGCCACCTACTTACATAGCCCATAAAAGACATCAACAATTCAAGGATGTCTTTGAAGTGTCGGAGGAGCTACCGGAGACTTTCACAAAAGAGATGTCGTATCATTGCCCTAAAGGTCTGCCAAGCTTGAAGAGGAGCGCAATGAAATTAAAAAAGCTTATGCCGTCAAAGTCTCCCTATTGTAATGGAACATTTGATAATGACGTGGAGTACAGCAATGGCTTGGATCGCTTGAACCCACTTGAAATAGACAATCCTTTGTTTGAGAAGTGCCCCCGCGATGTGAATTATTCCCCAAATAATCAGCATGAGAAAGATATCACAGGCACTTTCAGGAAGTACCCAGTGGGTTTAGCTAATTCCTCACTTAAAGATATAAAAGATCTGCCGAGAGGGAATTACGGAGATTTCAACAACATTGTCGTTCTGGAGCCTGGCTTGGGAAACAGGCATGATCCGGAGAACTCTTTTTCCATGTCGTTGCTCTCTCATGACAATTGCAATTCCAGGAGAAATAGGAAGAAGTTGGCTGAGTCTGTTGTAGTGAGCAATGAGAAAGTTTCACAACATCTTTTAAATACTGTTAATGTGGCTAGAAAAAAAGGAGAAAGATACTTGACTAGTGATGCCATCAATTCTCTGTCAAAGGGAGAAGAGCCATCATTTGATCAATTCAACATCATAGATATGAATAGCACCGGATCATTTCAGATGTATTCTGGCGGTGACATTAACTCCAGGCAAAACAACAAGTCATCATCAAGTAGCTTACCTGGGAAATCCTTTCGGAAGTATGATGAAGGCGATGTCGGATCGAGAACTCTTGCACAGATGTTTGCTTTATCTGATTCAGAGAGGGTAAAGAAAAATTTGAACCCGCATGCTCAGATTCAACACAACAAAGTTGACCAGGGCAAAGGCCACAACAAGGAAGGATGCTTTATAGTTTTACCAAAGCATGGATCTCCACTGTCTCTTCACACCTCATTGGACAGGAGTTCTTCCTGTGAAGGGTCTCCTAACAGTGAAATTTTCCCAGATCCTTCAGTTAGTTACAACAACGGCAAGGTTACCTTTGATTCTTTTCTGGCCAAACGAAGGCTCAAGCAAATTGCCAGCGGGAGGCAAAATAACTCAAGGAATGCTTCTGTGGTAAAAAGTCTTGCCTTGGAACAGCGGAGACCTGCTTCTCCTTCTCTTGATGATTTCAGGTGTCATTCATGGCATCCATCTGATAATGTTTCAACTTCTGACTGCATAAATGAGAGAGTATTGTTCGCGACAGACGAGGGGTTAATCCACGAGCCTGCTGAAACTGTGCCTTCTGCGTTTCAATTGCAATTATCTAGGAAACAGAAGGTCTGAACTTTGTGCGCCATGAATTTAGCAAAGTAAAACAAAACATAATATTCTTGCATGTTGCATACTTTCTGTTGTTTCAACGAATCAAGAATGAAATAGCGAAAAAGTTCTCTACTATTAACAATTTAACATAGAAGCATGAACAATCCAATTCCTCTGCAATAATAAGTGTTCAACTGCTGCTTTGAATCATACTCCTGTTTCATAATTTTCTTATTATCATGAGGATGTGTTTCTTCCGTCATTAAAAAAAATCAAGTGTTTTCTGACAAGATAAAAGAACTCTGTGAACTCAATTCACTCATTCAGAATCACTGTAATGAGACTGTTTCAGTTATTGATCCTGAATTATAGACAATTCATGATATTTTTTCTTTAACATTAATATGTTTTCTAAGTTCTATTTTTTCATGATATCAGATGTGCATTGTTCCACTATAGTAGAGTACTTGTTGTTATGTCATATTTAAACTTCATCATTTTCCCCACTAACTATGTAGACTCTAATGCAACTTTCATCTGTTGACAAGTTTAGATTGTTAAATCTTTTCATGCTGATACCATGAAGCCTAAGTTTATGGTGCACAGCTCTTCAAGTCGTTTCCCTATCTTTTTTAGGTTTCAGCAACGCCTTTGCAGTTTTATGACTGTGAATCCATATCTATTTCTAATCATGATGATCTGGCAAAGTCTCGTAAAGGATTGGAAGAGTTTGAGCAGCCGAGCCCAGTGTCCATTCTACAGCCCCCAACTGATGAAGACAGTTGCTGTTCTGGATTCTTCAAGAATGACTTGCAAGAAATGCCCAGTAAGATAACAATATAGCTAGAAGGCTGCATAGACTAGTGCTTGTGTCTTTTTGTTGTACATTGCCAGCTCTCCTAAACTGCGAAGTTAATACAAACAATCATTAAATTAAGCTAAATACTTACGACATAGCATCTGATAAACATTATTGCTAACTCACACATTGCAACATGCTGTTCAAACAAAGAATTTAGGTGTATAGTTAAGTTGAGTTTTAAATCACTTCTTTTAGTATGCCAAAAATGTGAGGAGTGCAGCTATTTACGAGAATTGCACAAAAGATTTGTTTACAGAATTTTTGCATCATGCATTCATTAACTGGAACTTCTTTATTAACCTCAGGTGTGGAGACACAAATGGACCATCGTCGATTCCGAGATGAACCTGAAGTCTCCTCCATGTCATGTGATGATGGCAATGATTCTTCTTACAAATCTTTGGAAGCATTTCAGGTTGAGGAGGACAGGGACTTCTCATATCTCCTTGATATTCTTATAAGCTCTGGTATGATAGTTTCAACTGACTGGCAGCTCTTGTGCAAGTCATGGCACTCATCTAGTTTCCCTGTTGGTCCCCAAGTCTTTGAGAGGCTTGAGAGCAAGTACGCCACAATTACTTCATGGCCAAAGCCAGAGAGGAGACTTATGTTTGATCTTGCAAATTCTGTTCTCTCCGATGTCCTTGCACCTTGCACCAATATACACCCATGGGTGAGTTCTACCAGACAGTGCAGGCCTATCTGGGGCCCTGAAGGGCCTGTTGAGAAGGTCTGGCAAATGATTGTCAGGCAGCAGGAGGAGCTGGCGATAGGCCATCCTGATGACAAGGTTCTGGATCCAAACTGGATGGAACTTGGTGATGACATATATATGGTGGGCAACCAGATAGCCATCATGTTACATGCTGACCTCTTGGAAGAAGTCATATTGGAATTCCTGTCACTCTCAGGGTCGGTCGCTGCATGTATGTAGGCCAAACTGACAAAATTCAGTCTATCGCAACAAAGTACAGTGACAAGTCTGAGTTAGTTTTTCCATGAACATTCTTCAAGCGTATATGCTGTAAGCGTTACCATTTGTTGCCTTTCAAGTGCACAGATGTAGTAAGGCTTGTTGATACAGACGCAACAATTTTTCTAGTCTATGATATAATTATGTATGTCACTAGATATTGGACAATTTTCTTCTTTGAAACAGTAACCAAGATGTGCTGTGCTGGGATTGATAGTAGAAATTTGATCACTCCGCCTCGAGATATGTTTTTTTACCGCCACTGTTCTATACTCCCTCCATCTCGAGTAACTTGTCGCTCAAATGAATGTATCTAGCATTGAAAAATGAATGTATCTAGCACTATTTTAGTGGTAGATAGATCCATTTGAACGACAAGTATTTCCGGACGGAGGGAGTATTAACTTAGCAGAGTATTTACATGTCCTCAAAGAGGTAGAGGAGGCTAACAGGAAACTATACAAGGTAGTTAGAAAGAAGAGATGGAATCGCCAATAAATTGAGCAAGCTCTGGTTTTACTCTAAGCTTGAGGATGTCTAGGTCAGCAGTAGGCATTCTCCTCCAATCTGGCAGAGATGGTCTGATCTTCTCAAAGTAGCATATATTTCTTTGTTTCCAAATGTTCCATGCTGCCAAAATAACAATTAAACCCATTAAAAGGCGCTAGAATGGTGGCCAACCAGCTACGCCATGTGGCGCATGCTGGTTGGTCACAGTGAGAAAGTATTTTTTTAGAGTTTTTTTTAAATGGTAGGGAGTCTTTTTTGAGAGAAGTTTTTCTAGGTTTTTTCTTTTTCCTTTTAAGATTGTTGTGTGCACGTGATGCGAGAATATTTTTTAATTTTTGGCATGATGGTGAGGTGCGCGCATCTTTCTCTCAAGCGGCCCACAATGGCGGGCCCCAACCACTAGTCTCTTTCAAGAGGGGGCTGATGCCATTCCTTTTGGTCCAATTCCGTCATCTCTTGCATAGTTGCATTGGTGTCCCAGTGGATATGAATTTTATTCCAGCATTCAATACTGAATTGACATGTGTAGAACAGATGCTTGTTTGTCTCTAAGGAACCAAAGGGGCAGAGCATGCAAGAGTGGTCCTCACCAATGTCAAAAAGGTGTGGCTAGGTCTTAGTCGACTAAGATTTTACAAGTCTCAGTCAAATGACATAACATACACGAGAGAAAAAGGAAAAAAAACTGAAAATAAAATTTTGCACAGATCTCAATGTAAGATCTCACGGATATAGCATAGTCTCAGTTAGCAAGACTGGTGTCAAAATGCCTTCTGCATATAAATCTCTGGTATTGACTCTATCCATAAACATTATCCAAGCAAAACCCTTGTGCTTCATCATGCATTTTGTCTTCCAAACCATAGTGATGTACTTTGGGTGATTTAAATTTCTGAAGTAGAACTTGTAAAATTTCCTTGCCTTGAATCTCTCATCGCGCCAACAAAGAATCCACTCATCTGTAGTCCATTGATCAATCATTACCGGATCATCATGCATTTTCTTCCAAACCATAGTGATGTACTTTGGGTGGTTTAAATTTCTGAAGTAGAACTTGTAAAATTTCTTTGCCTTGAATCTCACATCGCGCCAACAAAGAATCCACTCATCTGTAGTCCATTGATCAATCATTACCGATGCCGAGGAGAGAAAATGTCACCCAGTTCGAGAGATTGACCCGCAGTCTGCACCGGGCACCAGGCACTAGGCTCTGGTGTGCACTATACATACATTGCGTGAAGCGTTACACTGAAATGACATCCGGAAAGAATGGATTGGGATCCTCGTTTCAGTGATGTTCTTCTACATTTTTTGAGGGAATATGTTCTTCTACTTTTTTTGCGGAAACATGTTCCTCTACTACTGCTACTTTGCACTGTTTCGGCCGGAAGTTCTCCTCCGACAGGAGCGACGTGACGAGCCGCTTCAGCCTCGCCGCCCCGGGGCCAGGCCGCACGTGCGCCGCGTCCCCGACGGCCTTGCACGGGTCGTCGCTGCCGGTCCGGTTGCCACCGGCAGCCGACACCTCCCCGACGCACCAGCCGCCCGGGGCGAGCATGCCGGGCGCCCGCGACAGGAGGTCGGCGTCGATCCTGTCGAGGACGGGGTCGTCCCGGCGGAACTTGCGCGCGAAGGGGGCGGCGCTGGCGAGCATGCCGTCCCAGTCGCCGAGGGTGAGTAGGTGCGGGTGCTGCATCGGGGGGTTGTCCCAGGCGATGTAGTGGAGGTCGTGGTTGACGGTGGTGTTGCGGAACTCGTCGGCGTTGCAGGCCACGGTGTGGAAGTAGCCCTCCGGCGACGAGATGAAGTTGGCGTAGTACATGAGCACCGTGCGCGGGAGGTTGTCCCACCCCCAGATCAGGTACTCCACGAACGGCCTCGATAGCACCATCCACGCGGAACCTGGCACGAAGCAAGCAGATCATCCTTAATTAAAAAAAATATTTGTAAATTTTTTTTGTTCTCTCGATTGGCCCCCAAGGATTAACTTGAGAATTATAAAAGATTAAGGGAGATAGAGAGTACTTGCTGTTGTCAGGCTGTTCTTGTTGTTTTTGTGTTTGGTTGTGGCCGGCCATCTAGATGTTGTATCGTGGTATATACTCTCTTTGTCCAGAATAACTTGTCTGTTTGAGCGATAAGTAATTTTGGACGTAGGGAGTATAAAATAGTACATACTAGTCTATAATTACATTTACCTTTGACCATCAGTTTCACTAACAAAACATACTATATGCTATAGGTGAAATATTATGATTAAAATTGAATCGCGCGAAACGAGGACACCATGTAATAAGGGACGGTGGGAGTGTCATATCATCATTTTATTTTAAGATGTGCAGCGCACCGGCCATGATTTTTGGGTCACGTAGCCAATGTGCGAGCCACGAACGGGACGATATTGTAATGAGACAATTCCTCCCTGGGAAATGTCGTGACCGACAGTGCGAGCTGGCTATTAGCCCCTACTAAAATGATTGGCAGCACGCACGGGCATGCTCAAGGGGACAGGCCATGGATAGGTGCCGTGCCACACATGCACAACGGCGACAATCACTATACAGCACAGCTAAATATCCCAAAGAATATCAGCTCAAGAAAAGATCCAAATTTCGCTTGCTACGTGCCAATGGAAGCCGGGGACATGGCCATGGTTTCCAGGGAGAAACGTACGTGGCGTGCACCCACAGATTAGTTGAGGCGTACCGGTGAAGAGCTTGAAGGCGGTGGGCAGCTCCCGCTTCTGAGGGATCCAGAAGAGGTCGCCCTTCTTCTTCATGTAGAGCGCCGGGTCGATGATCACCGGCATCGCCCGAGCAAACCTGCCATGCATGAAAACCACGATGAACTTTAGAAACTTGTAAAAACATGCGCCGACCATGCATCCAATCAAGCTGGAGCACGTACGCTTTCCATCCGATGTCGCTGGTGTGATCCAGGAAGTTGAGGTCGCGCGGCAGCTCCGAGAACACCTCCATCATATCTACACGCGGCATGCCATGGCAGAATCCAAATCAGCTAGCGAACTCGTTTCGTTCACCAAGAAGAGGCGATTACGGCGACGCACCGTCCTGCGTGACGAGCGGGTAGTCGGAGGCGGAGAGGTTGATGAACCAGTCCCAGTCGGCGCCTTTGCCGCGGCCCTCGCCCCAGAGGAAGGCCGCGGCGGCGTGCAGCGTGGTGGTCACCATGGTGGGGCCGCGGTAGGTGACCAGGTTCGCCTTCTCCACCACCCGCACGTTGCGCGCCGCGGCGAGCACCGGGTGCGCCGCCACGAACGCCGCCAGCGCCGCGCGGTCCGAGTCGGGCGCCTCCGCGTCCAGGTGCAGGATGTAGTGGTTCCTCGGGTGGTACAGCGCGAGGAGGCACCGGCGCAGCATCCCGGCGTCCCCCTTCGAGCCGGAGATCAGGTACGCGAACCGCGGCGGCGAGGCGGGCGCGGCCGGCGGCGCGCGGGCCTGCGCCGAGAGCGCCGGGTCGACGAAGAGCGGGAGCTGAGAGCGCCGGGACGCGGAGGAGGCGGGGGAGGTCGGGGCGAGGAAGAGCGAGGCGGAGGGGAAGGGGACCGGGGAGGCGACGAGGAGGAAGAGCGCGAAGAGGCCCCCGGCGGCGACGGAGAGCAGCCAGCGCAGGACGGAGGGGCCGGCGTGGTCCATGGAGGACGACATCAACATGTATGGGTGTGATCGAGCGGTCGAGCCGAGGGACTCGTGTTTATATACGGTGTGGGACGTGGATGGATGGATCAATCATGCCGTCATGGAGCGTGAGGGTGGGAGAGCACGAAGCAATCATTTCATGGCGGGACAAGAGAAGAGAAGAAGCATGCATGCAGTTAGCTTCAACCCCTGGTGCTGGTGGGTTAAACGTGTGGCAGCACTAATCTCAAAGCCGCGGCGAATAGCCAGTCATGGCCGCCATCAGACCTCTTCCAATGCAAAGGTGCTTGTAGATGAGGTGCTAAGTGTATTAAATACCTTAGCAACTCAACTCCTGAATGTATAGGTGCTTAACTTGTTGTTGCTAAGCACATTTTATTTAATGAGTTAACACCTAAAGTCTTTCATGCATTGGCCAAATTGTTTCATTTAAGTGTTTGGCCTAGGTTCTCATGCTTGGCATTGGTTCTTTCTGGGATCACCAAAGTATTCTCTCCCCTCCTTAAATATTGCGCCATATCATTTTTTTACTTATATGACATGCTTAGCACCCGTCCACGGTAGAGCACTGGAAAGGGCCTCATGCACGGGCCGGCCGGCCGTCCGATGCATGGTCGATATAGCCGAGGACGAGCACGTACGTACCTGTGCACTCAGCGGTACCCACCCAAAAATAATGGCATCCAATGGCACGGATATTAGAGTATCATTTGATCCCATTCTGCTCACTTGGTTGGTGCATGCGTTGACGAGATCAAGATCGGAGCGGTCGAGCAGGCCAGGAAGAGACCTCCTCTCCCCAACAGAATTGGATTGGATTCTATTCTCTGTCGGTTCTCTTCTGCCGCCTAGAAATGACAGATTATATTAGCAGGCTAAGTAGTACTTAGTATTTTTCTTCTGGGTTTCGGTTTGGCTGTGGACACGTCCGCACGATCGCTCCAGGATCACGAGCGAGCAACCGCAGAATGAAGCGAGCGTGGCATTCGGTTGTTAGACAATCCATTCCATTCCCAATAATCCATTCCCGTACAGGTAGCAAGACAAGAACCTACAGCAGCGACGACGAGCTTCCTCCCTCCCGTCTTCTCTGAACCGTTGGCAGGCAGGCAGGCAGGCCCAATTAGTAGTACTCCCTCCGTTCGTTCTTATAAGGCGTTTCAGACAGCTGAGTTTGAACTGTTTAGTACACTGTCTGAATTTACTAAAACGTCTTATATAAGTGAACAGAGGGAGTAACAAAAATTCATTCAAGCCGGGATGGCGACGGGCTAGCCGAACACAAGCGCTGCAGCAGCTTCACAACACAAGTTGGTACCAGGACAAAGCCGACCCGGCCGGCCCCAACACATTCATTGGCAGCACTGTCGAGCCACAACAATCCCCAACTGTATCAGACGGTAGAGATGCCAAACTTTATTACTCTAGTACAAAAGAAACCGAGTTTCAGCTAAGCAATGTGGTGAGGCTTCATCACTTTAGTAGTACAGCCAATACTGAATACTCATCTGCCGGCTCAATCTCTCGGAACTGCTCGTAGAGATAAGGTTTACGTGCATGTGTTCATATCCATAGGGGGTGAGTCCGTGAGTGTGTGTGCGTGATGTGAACGTCTGCGTAGAAAAACACGCTGCAGTTACACACACGCATGGAGGGAGCTCAAAAGTACAGCGCATATACAACGGAGGCCAGGGCCACGGCCATCGACGTCCCTGCCCGCGTCACCGAGGCTAGGGACGACGACGAAGGGCCGGAAGGCGTAGTTGGCGTTGTTCCGTTATCGGTCGCCGGCTTCTCGGAGGCGCAGGTGAAGCCGCACAGGCTGGGCCGGACGACCCGGTAGACGCCTTTGCTGGCCAGGACGAAGACGTCCTTGCGGTTGTCCTCGCCGAAGGAGAATATGTAGCCCAGCGACGGGAGAGGACCTCCTCCGCCAGCGGACTCGCAGGGTATCGGGGAGTTCTTGGAGCAGCTGAACGGCGTCAGGGTGGAGGTGTAGTTCGCGCTGCTCGGTGGGGTCTCCGAGCCGGTCCACATCGCCGATGCGTACAGATCAGCGTACATGTACCTGAGACCAAATCATGTGTACTAGATTAAAGAGGTTGTAGGAATGCTTTCACAAATAATCTTTTTGGAGTATCGATTCTTTTTAGCCCAGAGCATTTGGAAATGTTTCTTCTTCACAAAAAAATTGTACGTACGTATGTAAACAATTCGTCAATGTTTGTTGTAAAAATATCAGTTTTTATTATTTACTACCTCCAACTAGCCTACCAAAACGTCATATATTTTGGAACAGAGCTAGTATTTTACTAAAAAAATCGATTTTCTTGTTCATGAGAAAACATTTGAGCTTGCAAGCAGAAACTCCATGTCCAGAAGTAGTACTTTTACTTGTTTGCTCATTTATTATTCAAGTTAGGAGAAGTGTACCTTCCATATAAGCAGGGATCAGTAGACCCACGGTAGACATATCCACCTGTAATTGATGCAGACCCAACGTTCTTGTTCACAGCAGAATGGTTGTAGCCCATGGCAGGGAAGATGGCATTTATGGAACTAAGTGATGTATTCCCCCCGGCTGTCCACTCTGGATGATAGACATATGGGCCTTCGTATGCACGCCATCCGTAGTTTCCACCCTTGGAGATCAAATCTACCTCTTCGTATGCATCCTGTGCGTGTGCGGTAAAAAAACCATTGGAGTTAGACAGACAGACTGGCAGACCAAATGCAATTTCTGGCCAAGGCCAACCTAGGACATTATGGTTTGTTCAGAGGTTTGTACTGAGCCAGCAATAAGAAATGGATAGTATTTATGTCAGCCTAGGAAATTATTTAGTATTGATAGTAAAAAGTGAACTGAGCATTCTTTACACAAAACAAACTACAAAGTGAAGCTTCGCAAAACATGATAACTGTAAGAGATTTAAACATTTTTTTATGTCCATTCACTAATGCAGAAGAATGTCCCATGATAAAGGCCGAAACATGTGTCTGCTGAGCAGGGTATGCTAAAATTATAAATATTGGAAGCACATGAAACTGTCGAACTCTTGTGCGGTAATGGAGATTATAAGAGCCAAGCCTTGAAAGAGGAAAACTGGAGTTTATCGATTATGTGTCTGATACTCATATGACAATATTCAGTCAAAGCACTGGAGAAATGAATGCAACATAAATTTGAAATAATACAAATCTGTTACCATATCGTCTAGTAGCTTCACTTTAACTACATTAATCAAAATTGAGCAACAAGCAAGTTAATGTACCTGCCCAACATCTGCACAGTAGAAGTAGGAAGGCCTCTCAGAATCAAAACTGCATCTCCATGGGTTTCTAAACCCCAAGGCCCAAATCTCTGGTTGTAACTCACTGTCTTGAGCAAATGGATTGTCCTTTGGAATTGCATAGTTGCCCCACAAGGTCTGGTTACCAATTTGCTTCTGGCCTGAAAGCAAAATATTAGAAGGGTTTAGGAGAAAAAAGATAACCCAAGTTAAATCTTTGGTGTGCCACGTTAACTACCCATGCTACTGGGTTCTTCATCTATAAAATTTCTACAACGCCAGTGTTCATCTGATAAGGTAACTTCAACTAACAGCTGAAAACAATCGATTAGCTTCCTTATATTCCTGAACATACCCAACATCTGCTCACAAAATTAGTGTGGAAACAGTGTAATCCTTACATTCCTGAATGTCCCTGCAAGAAGCATATTGTTGTTGTTATGGAAACAACAGAAGAGTAGGGGGTATCTTTAGTACTCCCTCCGATCCATATTAATTATCGCCGATTTAGTACAACGGATCGGAGGGGGTAGCATAGTTACATTTTAAGTATTTCAAATGATCTCCAGAAATGACAAACTGAATATTTATAACATCAACAATTTAAGTATTTCAAATGATTTCCTGAAATGATAAACTGTACAATTGATAAATATATTAATAAGCCTTAATCAAATGCTATGGTACTGAACAAAAAACAGATTATACTAAGTAAACAAAAAAAATATGAGATGGAGTCAACAGGATGCAAATATGACAGCAAACAAAATAACCTGTTTCAAGTGCTAACTTACTTTGTACACTGTCAATGTCAAGCCTCATTATTTTTCCCAAGAGTGATTTCTTGTTCTGAGAGAAATTGAAAGGGTCGCCTTTGTTTCCACCATCCCCCATCATAAAGTACAGATACCCATCTGTAGGTCCAAAAAGTATTTGTCCTGCATGATGAGCTGTATACGGCAACCCCATTGTAAATATCCTGCTAAACTCTGATGGATTAGCAGATGTTGCCTACAAAAGAAAACAGTAATTAGGATGCTATTCAAATGTTAGCTCTATGACATTCTTCTTTCATTTCAGACATGCTTCATTGTGAGCTGGGGAATGAGAAACTACGAACAATGAAATTAGGATTAAGCAAAGAACATCAATTTCAAGATCTGTGTAGAAGTGGGTATCCAAATGCGTACCGCAGAAACATTTGATGAGGAGACTTTTGCAGAATACTCTGAAACCACAACTTGGTACTAACATGGCTGAGCACCATTGTCAGTGCCTAGCTTTGAAGGGTCACAGCCAACATCAGAATTACATGAACATCTACCAGCACAGTTAGGTGACTGAGTTCTATCACAATTATAGGAAACAAAAAGGCGCCCATTGGCAGCAAACTTTGGATGAAATGCTATACCCATGAGCCCAAACTCGGAGTCCAAATGCACTTCGTCGGTCAGATCAAGGAACGGGTTCGCCTCGTCGAACTGCAGAGTGCCTCCAGACCCCTGTTCCGGGACATCTGCCAACCATATCTTTCCTGCTTGGTTGGACAAGAAAACTCTGTTGGATCCATCAGGGTGAGGGGCCATGTTCAGGTACGACCCGTTGCCGATTCTCTCGAGGCACACCCCTTTAGGGGAGGGTGACGGCTCGGTGGTGTTGAATGAAACTGCATTTCCGCTGAAGCATACCGACTTGTCATCGGATGAGCCACCAAATGATGTACAAAAGTCATTTTCTGACTGCCAGACATCGGTGAGCTTTGACGCGGAACTAGGCAGGCTTCCACTTCCTTGCAAGGAAGGTTGAAAAGGAGAGTTCGATATCGTCACATTTTTGCAGGTTTCCCAGACTAGTTTGCAGTAATCTTGTGTGGAATCTTTTGACTGAGCAGAACTTCCGGAAGAGGTGTAGTTGCACAGAAGTGGAACCATCCGAATCTTTGAGCTTGAGTTGAACAACTCAGCTGAAAATGGACTGCATTTCTGAAAATAAAAATTAAAAAGCTTGTTAATACTACTTATTATTAAAGGATAACAGACTAACAGTAAACATGAAGAAGAAGAAGAAGAAAAATCTCAGCCTGGTGATAACCAAATTTCTTGGTCTCCGCTAGATGCCAGCAAATCAACCAAGAAGGGGCAAATTTGGATCTGCTACATGTTCTAGAAACCTGGTCTGTTTCTAGAAATTTCCTACGAACTTGTGTGTGATTTTCTTCAAATTCGTTTGAATTTGAAGTTGTCCCCCAATTGAACAATAAACAGTGGTAACTCTTAAAAAGTCCACAGCATGTTCAGACATGTTTTAACACTTAATATGAATCTCAGTGTAACATCAATATTAAACAAACGCTGCCCAGGTAACCAGGTTTCAGCTGATCGAAGGCCTTTCGTTTGCAGTCCCCAGCTCAGGCAAAACATCGAACATGTAGTGTGCAACCAACCCGATAAAAAACACGTTGGTTTGCAACAACAGCACATACAATTCAGTCCCCACACTAGTTGGAGCTGGGAGGAAGAAAAGATGGCAATCCGTACCGCGCAGAGGACCGACTTGACGACGGCAGCGCAGGCGGCGTCGGAGACGCTCATGGCCTGGAACCGCTTCTTGAGCGCGGCGTCGGCGGCGGCGTCGCAGCAGCTGCTCCCGCTGTAGGAGCAGAACCCCAGCGTCCCGTTCAGCGGCGCCGGCGCCCCTGCAAACATCAAGCAGATCCGATAGCATCAGCATCCACGCGACGCTGACAAAAGCCAAATGAACACGAAGGCAAGCTGCTCTGCTCACTGGAGTCGGTGCAGAGCGGGAGGGCGTGGAGGAGCCACGGCTGCTGCCACGAGAGGCGGCAGAGGAGGAGAAGCAGGAGCGGGAGAGAGCGTGGCCTCCCCATCGCTGGTCCGGTTCTTTGCCTCGGCTGTCGCGCGCGGGCACGGGCATGATTGCGTAGCGGCGAGGCGAGGAGCGGCCAGATTTATTGGGGGGTGGGGTGATGCCGATGGGGACTTGGGGAGTGGGAGGAGGAAGAAGGAAGGCGCGCGGGCGGCGTGTGAGAGTTGACCGAGTTGGCTTTGAATAATGGCGCCGGCGGGACATCTGTCGGCCGCTTCGTTTTTATACCGGGAGCAGGAACCTCGCCGTGCCACCTTGTGTTTAGACCTCGTTGATTGGCAGGAGTAGCAAAAGCATCTTATATCCAGACCTCTTAAACTCACCTCATACATTCGGACGGGCTGCTCGGTCACTACCGGTCATGATTTTTTGAGGCCGGCATGTCGATGCATATCCACAAGTGTGCTGCCACGTCGGATCCGACAGCCCAACCCCACTCCAAATTGCACCAAATTCATCAAACCCTTTCTCCTTCTCCCGCCCTCCAACCATTCCCGCGCCCGGACCCTCGCTCGCCTACATCCTTGCTCCCATTCCTCACCTCCGGGCCTGATCCGTCGGCGGTGACTTGCAAGCCGAAGTGTAACCAACTTGTGACCGACCTCAAGTCCGGTAAGAATAGAAATGATGGCTCAAGCTCGAACCAATCAATTGGGTTGGACGATGAAGAGAACGATGTTGCCGTGACGAATGGAAAAGCCACTGTGCCAATGGACAACCGCCAATTCATGGGAAACAAGTGGGAGAAGGCACGTTTCGCCCATGATGCCGCGGCTACCAAAATGTCGTCCACATGGACGGGCATTTTTTTGATGGGGGAGAACAAGAAGGAGGAGATGTACAAGCTCATGTTGGATGCGCAAAAGAAAAGGATGGAGTGGGACCGGAAGAGGGCGGAGAAGAAGCTAGAAATAGAGAGGGAGAAGATCGAGTTGGAGAAGCAACAAGCGGCGATCAAATGGGAGCTCGAGAAGGCCAAGACATTTGGTGACATTGAGCTTGAGAAGGAAAGGCTGCAACTTGCACGGGATGCGGAAAATGCGAGGATCATGTTGATGTTCAAAATGTAACCGTTTGTGTTCGTTTTGCATCAAATCCATCATGTTTGTATGAAATTCAACCGAGTTTGCATGAAATTCGATTGTGTTTGTACGAATTTTATCCGGTTGGTTTGAGTTGTTATGAAAATGTATGCAGCTAGTGTTGGATGACTGTCTCCTACATTCATATCCGCGGACTGGTCCCCGGATGCGAAAGGTTGTTTGCATGTTGCCGTTGAAGATGCCCTAAAATCACACACCTGCTGTCATCAATCGGTTGTCGGAGTGAGATGTAGCTCAGTACTCTCTCTGTTTCAAAATAGATAACCCAACTTAGCTCAATACTCCTTTCGTTCTGAAATAGATGACACAACTTTATACTAATTTTAGTACAAAATTGGGTTATCTATTTTGGAACGGAGGGAGTACATCCATGTGGAGTAAAATCCATCCGAGTTTCCTGCCTCCGGTCGAGAGAGAGCATGGCGATCTGATCAAATGGCATATACCACAGGCTCTGGTTGTTGTTAGTTGGCGGAACGGCGGGCGAGCTTGACAACGCTGCTGCGCACCACTTTGACTTGTTCAGCATCTATAGCTAGGCTGGATGATTAAAGAAAGCTGATGCCTGATGGCCAAGGGCACTTTGCAGAGCGCTGAAAAAATGAGATGCGGGTGGGGGGTCGCCGACTCGCCGCGCCGGCCGCCGGGCTACCTCCCCTTTTGCACCATCACCGGTCATGCATGCACGGCGCTCGTGAAAAGAGCTGTGTGGTGGCGAGTCAACTGGCGAGCGCGTCGTCCTCGCCCGGGCGCTCCAGTTGATTTGATTGTCGTGGACGTGCGCAAATTGGCAAAAGCACGGGCAAAGTAAAAGCTCGGCGCCGCTCAGACTTTAGAACGGCGGCGTCCCTCTGCTCTGCTCTGCTCTGGGTCGCCGTCCGTCGAGGAGGAGAGGACACAATTCAACGATCGGGGTTGGTTGGCAAGTGGAGCGAGGCTGGTCGCAAAGTCCATGCGTTTGACTTTACAAGATCGGAGGGTTCATTGCGTTCGGTTCGCGCAGTCGATCCACTCTGGATGGGATCGTCCACATCGCTGCTCAACCACATCCTAAGGCCAACTTCAACTCATGACACCATTTTGTCCGTCTCAGTCTGTTCTGTTTAGATCGAAACAGATAGAAATAACAATGCAACACGGCGACTCAAACGGAGGGGCGCTCGCTTTTAGTCTGCCCATGATCCATATTCGATCCAAATTTAGGTAGGGTTTACGTTCGCGTGGACACGAAGCGGTCGCACACGGGCGCTCCCGTTGTCGTCCCCTCGTCCGCTCGTCGGTGAAACGTATGTGGTCCTCTCCCCTCCTCTCCACGTCCTACACCCTCCCACCCTCGTTGCCATAGTCGTCGGCGCCCATTTTCCAGCCGCTTCGTCACTGAAAGGTAATAGACCAGCTGTATATATATAAAAATTATAAATACGAGAACATACACATGATATGTCATTGGGAGGTTGTTGCATATACATGTAATATGTTCTTGTTATTCACAATGTAATAATCTTTTCGTCACCAACTAATCCAAATTTGAAGTATCACAAAGACATCTAACTTTTTTCACCATTGGATATAATCCAACACTAACACTCCGTAGTTTTTTAATTTCTGACAGCTTTTAATCTCATTCTTATGTGTTTGTTGGACTTCATTTTTTTTTGAGACCCAAAGGGTAACAGGGGTTACATTCAGCTAGTAGCATTTCTCTAAGCTTCTCCGGGACGTCCGAGATCATTGTTCTGTTGCCCTCTATCCTTGCCAAATAGGCAAGCTCGTGAGCCAATTTGTTCCGGCTCGTCCCAATCACACTCACCTGATGGTCTGCAAATAGCCTGAGCGTTTGTTTGATATCCATCAGGATAGAGTAGCACTCCGAGAGACTTGTCATTCCCTGCCGACTGTCATGTTGTCCGTTTCTACTATGACCTTCCCTCTGTATCTTTTTGCTAGTTCCTGGAGGCCACTTAGGACAGCTTCTGCCTCTGCCTCTTCCATGGATTTACAATTTTTCAAATTTTGGCTAACAGAGATATAGGCCAGACCCTGCGGATTCTGTGCAATCCCTCCAGCCCAGCTCTCTCCTATGTTCACCAGGAAGGCAGCATCAGGCCTCCTTTGGTTCATAGAATATGAATAGTATAGGAATAGAAAAATCATAGAAAGTGAAATGACATGCATCTCAAATCCTATAGATAAAGAGATGTCATTTGATGTATGGGATAGGAATTTTTTCATTGAGTCTAGGCTAATATTTTTTTTTTTGAAATGTGAAGGATTGATTCCTATCCTACATAGAAATAGGAATTCATTCCTACAAACCAAAGGGTTCCAAAGGAATTTTTCCTACAAAGTTCCTATCCTTTGCAATTCCTACAATATTCCTATGAACAAAGGAGGCCTCAGAGTTCAGTTTCGCCCAGCCAGCAGGAGGGGGTGACCAGGCCGTGCCCTGAACATTTTCAGATCCTTGTCCGGTTCTGGTCGGCTGTAGATACCTCCCAGCGCCCCCGTCAGTCAGAGTCTGGGCTTCTTTGATTTCTGCTTCATACCTGACAAGGGACCGCATAGCTCCGGTTACAGTTTCTTTCCCAGCGACATGGATGACATCATTTCGAAGGTTCCACGCTTGCCATCCCATCAGTAGGATTCTGCCCTTGGTTATCTCGTTCTGCGTGCTTAACAACATTTGAAACCACAGATTGCATGTATCTCTGAACATTTCCTCCTTTGGTAAATCCCAGAATGTCCTTAGCTCAGTTCTCAGGGCTCTACTCCTCGTACAAGCAAAGATGGCATGAAATTCATTCTCTACACCATTGCCGCAGATATCCAAAGTGTTATATGTAGCTATCATGCGCCGGAAGGCGTTGTGCTTTGTAGCTAGGGACTGGGTTGCTACTCGCCACCCAAAAATCTTGACCTTCTGAGGGACCTTAGGGGCTGTTTGGATTGAACCCAAACCAGCCCTGCCAAAACGATGGCCTGCCAAATTTTTGGCGAAGGAAATCGCCGCCGAGAACTCGCCCATGTACTAGTACAGAATCACAACGGCTGGCCAAAAAATTGGCAGCCATCGGGAGATTCGGCTGCAATCCAAACGGCTGCCCATTTTGTGGTCAACGACCAAAATTTTGGAAAGGCAGCCTTTGGCAGCCATCCAAACAGGCTCTTAGATTTCCAAATGACGTCCCAGATGCATCTATCCCCTACCTCATTTGAGGATGTAGACGCTCCAACAGAGGTGTTTTTCTTGATCCTATAAGCAAGGTTGTATGCACTTTTGACCGTGAATCTGCCTGTTTTGTCATAGTGCCATGCCACCACATCTTCCACATCCTTAGATGGGATTCTTATTCTTTCAATTTCCTCAACATCAAAGTGGTGGAAAATTTGGTTTATTAGGTCCATATTCCAAGTTTTTGCATCCGGATTCATCAATTGATTGACCCATCTAAGCCTTGAGCGTCTTATGAACCCTGCTGTTTTGCATCCCTCTTTCCTGGGGATCTACTTATCTCTCTGGATTTGAATGTTCTTACCGTTGCCCACCCGCCAAATCAAACCTTCCTTTAGTAGTTCAAGGCCAAATTCAATTCCTTTCCAGGATGGCGAGGCGTCAGAAGCGAACACCGTGCCCAGTAGATTACCATTAGGGAAGTATTTTGATTTTAGCACTCTTGCACACAAGCTGTCCGGGTACTGAAGAAGTCTCCAACTCTGCCGGGCTAGGAGAGCTTGGTTAAAACACTGCATTTCCCGGAAGCCTATGCCACCGTCCCTCTTGTGCTTGGTCATATTCTCTCATGACATCCAGTGAACTTTTCGGCGGTCAACCTTGTCTCCCCACCAAAAATCCCTAATCAATTTTTCATACTTGTCACAAAACCCTGCATTGAGTTTG